ACAAGTTCCACTTCCAGACTGACCCAGATTACCTAAACACAAACTGTATTCATGTTTTGGTACAAATGGAACAAAACACAGGCCTGGACGACCTGGTTAGTGCAGCTGCAATGGGAGATGTAGAGTCACATGGACACTAACAGACCCTTTTGACTGAAGGGACTTTTCGAGAGCTCAGGACAGTGGGTATCATTTGTCTCGCAGACTGTTTAACGCAAACTTTTATGGGATTTGGGCCTTTGTGAATACTTTTGTGTGACTTCTATATGGATCCTTGATCATTTCAGGCTCATATTATATTCACCATTCATAGATGTTTCCACCAGAAAAAGAAAGTGCTCATTTTTAAGTATGGTTCATAAAATTGGATAGAAAATAATAGGAGTTAAAAGAGAAATGACTGGCAGAGAGAGGGGAAGCATCTTAAAATGGGCTTACCAATGATAAAAAGTATCTCCACCAAGATATCGCTGACACTCGGTGGGTTTCGCGCTGCCGAGCCGCCGTCCTCTCGTATTTCCACAGCTGTGAAGCAAACGTTATAGGGAACCGTGATGGCCACGTAGAAAGTGGCCAACAAGATCAGCCAATCCCAGCCGGCCTTGAATGCACCGTAGTGAAGGAGGATGAAACGGGATTTTTGGACATCGGCCACCTTATACTCGGGGACAGGGTTCGCATTGGCTCCGAGAACACTCTTGATGTGTAGCATGGAAAAACACATGAGAATTAATGGGCATAAATTAACAGTATTAGCATTATATATCTGCCAAGTTAACAATGGGGAGTGGCTTTTCATCTGCATTAAATATTTCATCTTTAGCACTAGATGTGAAGGTATAATTCATGGTTCCACTGGACTGGCGTGATTGAGACTCATATCGCCATCAAATCGAAATAAAATTGGCCAAGCTGAAGACAAATGGCTATTCCGACTGTTCCTCGCATGTTGGAGGCAGTTTGGCAGTCTTTATGTCATCCAAGGTTGCTTAAATTTACAAGCATTCATCTTTTTGAATTGATATGCAGATCACAGTCACAAGCAAAGGTCTTGAAACCATGACAACCCCCTTAACCTCTTAAGCCCCAAGCCTACCTGATCTCCTGCTTTTTGCCCCCGTATCAGGGGGCGTTGGGGCTTAAGAGGTTAATCAGTAAAGCCAGTAAACCCCTGACGCCTTATAGTCTTGTGCTTCAGTTGCACTCTCCTGGAGGCTGCAGCTTTCCCTACAGACAAAACATGCTGATGACACTGCTACTTTTGGCCCTACTAAAGGCTTAGTCAGGGTTTGAAAGTCTGTGACGGGGTATTTATATTTAAAATGGCGCATCCTCTGTGCATATTTTATTGATACTTAGCAAAGGAGAATTGTGACTGTAGAGTAAAAGTCAGAAGTCACTGAACTTTAAAAAAAAAAAAGACATTGGCTGTGAATAATTTAAACCACCAAACACAGCACATCTCACATTGTTGATCTTCAGCTTGCTCTTGGTTTTGTCCTGTTTCTGCAGGTGTCCCGACAGCTGATAGAGGACAGCCCGACTGCGCCGGCGCTCCATGTTACAGCCTGAGGGGCAGCTGATCTGGCGAATCTCCAGACCAGTTTCCTCGTCTGAGAGCAAGGGCACACAATAGGAGAACAAAGCACTAATGTGGCAGAAACTCTCACCGTGCTAACCTGCACATGCCTACAACTGAATCTAAAAGGAGGCAAATGAGAGATAGCGTGAGGACGACTGTCGTCTGGTTTAATTGAGCAACATTATGAACATTGTAGTAGTTTGGCTACACTGAGATCTGTAATCCAAAGCTAATATGTTTCACTTTAGGTCGTGGCTGTTCACCATAGCTATGGTGGAGAGCCATAATCTAAATGTCTGAGGT